ACACACACACACACACACAACAGGTTGGACTTGATGGACATGTGTCTTTATTCAACCTCAAATACTATGTAACTATGTAACTATATAAATCCTGTATAATAATAATAATATTAATAATATATTCTCATTTAGGTCATAAGACAAGTTCAGTGCAAACACTTTAACTGTGCTGAATTGAAGGGGCAGCTCAGGACGTTGCCAGCTTGGCCCAACCACTGAGATAGAAACGCACGTTCTTCTGATCTGGCCAATGGGACTTGTTGTCTTTTAGTTAAATTTGGACCATTACCTAAACCTTAAAAATCCATTCAATTCCCTGAACACTGAACAACAATGTATCTTATTTGTGTATCACTCGGGTGTAGATCCTCCAATCATCTCTGAATTGGTGCTGACACTGTCCTTCCTTCTAGAGGGGGGCTAAAAGAGAGTAGAAAGGGTTGAGGGAGAGAATTATAAATACAGTTCACATATGTGTATTCCAATGGTTTGTTGTAGTGTTCAGTAAGACACGTATGAGTATGTGCGAGCAGACATTCGGAGCATGCGTGTTCGGTCCTGCAGTCCATTCCATCTTAGTGGTTAGTGTCGGTCTTTAGCACAGCATCTCTCTCTCTCTTCCCAGTTCATATTAATAGCACCATGTTGGATTATTACAGGATGGGGGAGGACCGGCTACGGTCTGCAGGCAACAATATTCTATTGACTGGAGGAACCCAACCAATGGACCAACAAGATACACACACAAGTGTCATTGGCTGTTATCGGGGGGCCAAATGCAGCCCGATCCTGAACACATTATAGATGGCCGTGACCATTCGCATACTTCAAGGTGATCACGAGCTGACTAATCATTTTTATAATTACTAGGGATGCCCCGATACCGGTTTCTCAGTATTGAGTACGAGTACCGATATTTTCCTTTCGGTACTCGCCGATACCAGATACCGGTGCTTCCGCTGGCATAGAGCCGGATTCCCGGGCAATCAGGAAGCCGGCTCCATGTTGTTTGGCCGGCTCGATTGTGATTCTGCCAGCTTGATGATGATTGGCTGGGAAATCGGCTTCCCAGCCAATCAGCATGGAGGCGGCTTCCTGGCCAATCAGGAAGACATGAGGCGGGTCATTACTCGCCACCCGGCTTCCTGATTGCCCAATGCCCAGTAAGCCGGCTCCATGTTCCCCGTTCAGAGGAAATGTTGCAGACTTATCAATGGGGGAGGGGAGACTGAGAAAATACTTCCTCCTACCTGCATCAGACTGATCACTGGGGGAGGGGAGACTAAGGAAATGCTTCCTCTTGCCTGCATCAGACTGATCACTGGGGGAGGGGAGACTGAGGAAATGCTTCCTCCTGCCTGCATCAGACTGATCACTGGGGGGGAGGAGACTCAGGAAATGCTTCCTCCTGCCTGCAGCGGACCTATGACAACATCTCAGCAGAGTCACTGATTGGAGCTCAAGGATGACTTTTTAATAATAAGAACATGATACGATTGTTATATATTGTGACATGTTTGTGATTTCTTCGTGCAGATGTGTAAAGATACTGACAGGTCCACTTTGTTGAATTTGGGGTCAGTTAATGGAAATCTCCCATTAAATTGTGCCGCATGAAGGCAATCACCTGAAATAGTGGCGATCAAATCTTCTGACCCGTATCTTACCGTCGCCCTCAGCATGGCCTCGGTCTGGCACCGGTGTCTAGGAACCGGCATTGCCACACCAGCGAATGCCACAGGTGCTCTTTATTGCGCCCAGAGATTTCCTGACGCATCGGACCGCCAATCCCCCCCTCGTGGATGTCTCATCCTCCAGTACCTGATCAGACCTTTGCCCCTATGGGCCCCCGTCCACCCTCCATCCCTTCCCTGTGCCACCTCCTCTCATCAGCGGGCCGGGTGCAGGGGTCGTTCATCATTGCGTTCAATTCCGCCCCATTCATCTTCCTCATTTCTTCCTCTTTTTGTTATTCGACCGGCAGCACAAAGGGCCCCCGAAAGCCATAAAAAAACAAAAAAAAATCAGAGGGGGCCGAGCAGCCGGGGTGAGAAATAATGGATGAGGAAAGCTTTCATCTCATTGTCGGTGAAATCACCCGGCGCTCCGGACGGTGGACGGACGCGCTGGAGAGTGAAATTGCAGCAATTCACTTTTCCCCCCTAAATTGCTGCCATTGTTCAGACTTAATGCAGAACAAAAGGATGGAAATCTGCCGGTTCCTCCGGCTGGAGCCGAAACGGGCCGCACACACCCCCTCCCCCCCCCTCTTCCAGGAGCGTCTCATGGTGGAGCGCGTGGAGAGCGCCGTTCGAGTTCAATAGAGTCGCCGTATATTCGCACAAAAGAAACGGCAAAAAAAAAATTAGCGGCTCTAATTAAAGTCAATCTAAAACTTTTATTGTATTTTTATTTAGAGACGCGAAGGACTGGAACCTGTCGGGATTTATTTGCTTGAACTAGAAGATGTATATGGAGCCCAAAAGCCGAAAATCACCGGGTCACATCGCAAAAAGAAATGGATGCCAGACACCAGGCAGGGGGCTCAACCTGTGCCCCAAACAGCCAAGAAAGAATGCCAATGGCATAATGTAAAAATATTCAACACTGGTAAACTTTATTGATCTGGACAAACTGACAAAGGATCCCTGCCTGGCACCTCTTCAACTGACGCGTTTTTCACCCACACGGCTTAATGGTAAAGGAGAGGAGTGGTATTTACATAACGGCAAATCCGGTAATTGCCAATCTTTAAAGAGCTACACACTATGATAATAATACCGATACTTCTCACACCATATCTTCAGAAATGAAAATCATACAACCTCTCCTCTCCTCCAATAATAAAAAGAAGAAGAAGATAGGGAAGGAGAAAAAAGAAAAAGAGAGTTCACCAGCATTGAGTTTTATGCCACCAGCCCTCTTTTTCTTCATTTTCACACATTTATTCAATGTGTATGTCCCACTAGGGAGATTTCCCTTCACTTCCTGTTCCAGAGACACAACAGGAAGTGGGAGGAAACATTTGATATTTCTACAGCCGTTACAGTAAAGAACCCTTTCGTTATGTGAAGGTTAAACCTCTTTTCCCCCACTGGCCTTTGCGACCTTAAAGCGTACCTCAAGTCAAAATCTTTCTGTTTTTATTTTGGAGAGAGACGGGAATAATTAAACTCTTTTGTTCAGCTCGGCTTCCTATATCTTAGCCACTTCCGGGCCGCAATATGCCTACAGACGGCGACTCGCAGAAGTTACATAGTTACATAGTATTTGAGGTTGAATAAAGACGTAAGTCCATCAAGTCCAACCTATTGCGTGTATGCATTTATGTTTGAGCAGGTGTGTGTGTGTGTATGAGTCCATGTGTGATCTTGTTCTTAGGCGTACCTGTACCCCGGTATATTACCTGTACCCCTGTATATTACCTGTACCCCTGTATATTACCCGTACCCCTGTGTATTACCTGTACCCCTGTATGTTACCTGTACCCCTGTATATTATGCTCTCCGAGGAACTCGTCCAAGCGTTTCCTGAATGCTTCCACACTCTTAGCTGAGATCACTTCCTGTGGCAGCGAGTTCCAGACCCTAACCGCTCTGACTGTGAGGAACCCCTTGCACCCCGTGTGTTGACATTTTTTTTCCACCAATTTTTGGTGGTGGCCTCTGGTCTTTATTACGGAGCTGACCGGGAACAGTTTATTAACAATGTTGCTGTCACCATTGCACAGTTTATACAAGAATATCATGTCCCCCCTTACTCTCCTAACCTCTAAGAACATATTTAATTTTAACAACCTTGTTTCATAGCTCTGGTCCTCCAACCCCTTAAAGGGGTTCTAAACCCTCCGTTTTTTTTTGCTTATATCTACTGCTAGCAAGCAGTAGATATAGGCAAGAAGTGTAAAAAAAAAAAAAAAGCTTGAAATCATTTTAAACTTACCTCGTTATCGCTGCTCGCTCCCGCGCCGAGAATCAGGAAGTGATCGTACGGCTGCAAAGGATCTTGGGGCGGGCGCATGCGCAGTTCCGATTCTCGGCCGGGAGACGAGCAGAGACGCAAGGTAAGACTACGGATGCATGTTCCCGCCTGCAGACACCGCAGGATCGGAGGGACAGAGCAGTCAGCGCTGGATCGGAGAGACGCCGCACCGCTGGAGGGACACATGAAAACATCCGGAAAGAAGAGGAAGACCAGAATAAGAGACATTTAAGGTAAGTGCTGACATTTACATGGGGGGGAGGGGAAAACATTTTTGCCTTTAATATCACTTTAATCACTTCCTGGACTCTCTACAGCTCAAGGACATCTTTTCTGAGTATCGGTGACCAAAACTGGACCGCGTACTCCATATGAGGCCGAACCAGTGATCTGTAAAGTGGTAAAATTATAGATTTGTCCCTGCAATACATTCCCCTCTTAATGCAAGACAGGACTCTGCTCGCTTTGCTACAGCAGCCTGGCACTGCGAGCAGGGGCGTAACTAGAAATCACAGGGCCCCCTAGCAAAATTTTGAATGGGGCACCGTGATTTCTAGTTATACCCCTTGCAGAGCCCACTCGAGATCCCACCTGAGGGTGACATGCCATCTGGCCGTGCC